GAGACTGTAAACACTGTATAGACTTCCCATAGTAATAGACTGGAAATAGAATGATCACTATTGCCAAGTATAAAGCACGGTGTAAAGCTTCTGACATTTTACCACACACCTGAAGTCTAGGATCTTGGGGAAGGGAAAAAATGGTGTTTGTTAACTACAATGAGCGATGAATAGAGCCTGCAGGTGAAAAACAACCAAGAACCAAAAAAATTGTTGGTCCAGTGGGCTTTTCGGGAAGCTGTAAGTGATACAGGAGGAGAGGTCCATCTTTCTTTCATAGAGTGCCTGGCAATTTGAACCATCAGAGGGGCTTGGCCGTTAGTTTAGCAGTTCTGCTTTCTGTGGCTTGCTAGAGCTCATCTTTTAGCTGAAGGTATAAGTGATAACAAACGATTGATAACAGATGCAAAGAAAAGTAAATAAGAATATGAGCACAAAATAAATATGTTGTTGTCAAGTACAATTCACAGCAGCCCTATGAACAGATCAGAACCCTGTCCTATCCTGTGCCATCCTCACCATCTCTAACACACACGAGCCCATTGTTGTAGTCACTGTGTCAATCTATCTTACTGAAGGCCTTACTTTCTTTCATTGATCCTCCACTTTTCCTAGCATGATGTCACTCCCCAATAAAAAGCCTCTCCTAACAACATGCTCAGAGTTTTTGAGAAGAAGCCTTGTTATCTTTGCTACCGAGGGACACTCTTACTGTACTTTCTCCAGGACATATATGTTTGTTCTTTTCGGAGTCCATGAAATATTGAGTACTATTCTCCAACAAAATATAATTAAGTCTGTGCTCACTTATAAATTATTTCTTTGCCAAACATCTATGGGTTACCTAGGATATCCCAGGGACTAAAGGAGACTATAGAAATCATTTGTGAAGCTGAACTCTGGAGAAGAATTTGGCTTCAGAATTGGAAAAAGACTCATCAACAGTCAGTGTTATGCTGATGACAGAATGACAGAATCTTGTTTGTTGAAAGAGAAGAGGACTTGAAATACTTGCTGCAGAAGATCAAAGACTACAACCTTCAATAAGGATGAATTTTGTTTTAGGGTTAAATTTTAATATTAAAAAAATGAAGGTTCTCACTACTGGGTGAATGGGCAACATCATAATAGATGGAGAAAGGAGTAAAATTTTCAATGATTTCTTATTTGCATCTACAAATTAATACCAGTTACACTGGCAGTCAGGAGATCAGGAGATGCATTGCTTTGGGCAAGTCTGCTGTCAGAGACTTCTCCAAATACTGAGCAACAAAGATATGAATTTGAAGACTAAGTTGTGCCTAATTCAGGCCATTGTATTTTTATTTACTCGCAATGCATCTGAGCCTCAAGCTGCTGCCAGTTTCTTATGCTATGGCCACTGTCTCTTGAATTTAGGAGTTTGTAAGTCCAAATACCAGGTCCTAAGGTTACGGAGGGTTTCCTATCTCAGACAGTTCTGAGAAAAAGTCCTTTCCCTTGAATTTCTGCTCCAAGATTGACTTCTTGTGGCTTAGGGCTTCATCTCTTCCATTTGTAGCTCACTATAGTCACAATGAAATAATTTCCCAAGGGAGTGTGATGTGTCCTGTAGATTGGCTTCTGGGAGACATGGGCATACCTGTGTTGTGGGGGAAGCTGAGTTCCCACCTCCTGTGCCTCACTTTGTCTCGTGTACCCATTTCCCTGTGCCGTGTTCTGCCTCCTGGCCTTGTTCCCCAAAGAATTTCAGGCTCCTCCTTGATCCAAAGACAACAAACTGTGGCTGACTCTAAGAAGAATGGGAATTCCAGAACACTGGGTGATGCTTATGTGAAACCTATACTAGGATGAGGAGGCAGTCACTAAAAGAGAGCAAGGAAACACTGAATGGTTAAAAATTGGGAAGGGTGTATTATTTCCAAACCTTTTCAATCTATATGCAGAACAGAATATCCGGGTGGCTAGGCTCTATAAGGAGAAATGTGGCGTCAGGATTGGAGGAAGATTCATCAACAATCGGCATTATGCAGATGACACACTCTGCTTGCTGAAACTGAGGAGGACCTGAAGCGCTTGCTGCAGAAGGACAAGGACTGCAGCCTCCAATAGGAATAGAAGCTCAACATCAAGAAAACACTGGGCTGATTGGCAGCATCATGATAAATGGGGAAGAGATTGATATTGTAAACAGCTTTAGTTTGCTTGGCTCCACAAGCAACCCTTTTGCCACCAATATCCAGGAAATTAAAAGATGAATTGCAGTGGGAAAGTCTGCTGTCAGAGACCTCTCCAAAGTACTGAAGAGCCACAATGTTATCTGCAAACTAAGGTGCAGTTGATATAAGGTCATAGTCTTTGCAATCACTTGCTATGCATAAGAGAGCTGGACAATGACTAGGGATGATAGAAGGAGGATTGATGCTTTTGAGAAGAATATTGAATGTGCCATGGACTGCTAGGACAAACAGGTTCATCCTGGAGAGGGTTAAACGTGGCTGCTCCTTGGAGGCAAGTATTCTGAAGCTTCATCTGACATACTTTGGACATGTTGCAAGGCAGGACAAGTTCTTGGAGAGGGACTTCATGCTTGGGAAGATGGAGGAACAGTGCTGGAGAGGAAGACCCTCGATGAGATGGACTGATGCAGAGACTAGGGTAATGGGTGTAGGTGTGTTTGAGACAGTGAGATTGTCACAGGATAGAGCAAGCTTTAAGGCTGTTATTGTATATAGGTTTGCTATGAGTCACAGGTGACTTGATGGCACATAACAACAACATGCATCTGAGAACTGCACAATGAATAAGAATGACAGAAGAAGAATTGATATCTTTGAGTTGTGTTATTGGAGAAGATTATTAAATATTGCATGGGCTTCCAAAAGAACAAACAAATAGGTTTTGAGTAATGTGCTGCTGGAGTACTTCCTACAGGCAGTGATGGTAAAGCGTCATCTCTCATACTTTGAGCATGAGTCTATGAGAGGCTACTCCATGCTTGCAAATGTGGAGGGTCTGAAAAGGAGAAGAAGGCCTCCAATGAGATGGATTGACATAATACTGGAGCAATGGGCGCTGTGTATTAAATATGATAAGGATAGCACAGAATAGATCAGTGTTCTGGTCTGTTGTTCAAAGAGTCATTATGATCTGTACTTAAGTCAATAGCATCTAATGACAACAGTAGGACACAAAAACTCAAACATTGATTTTACACATGGTAGAGTGAGAGGTTGGTGAAGAATTAGGCAAAGTTTCATCCATTTTACATAGGTTTATTATGAGTCAAAGGTGACTTGATGACACTTAACAATAGTAATATAGGATATATTAAGAGACATACTCTAGGTGTTACTGAAGTTAAAGTTTATTGGATGAACTAGACATTAAACAATCAGTATAGTTGGTTGTAATTGTGGTAACTGATGTGAAAGAAAATATAATATCTGAGAATACTTACTGGAATCAGAGGCTACCTAGTTTGATGGTTTCAACTATTTTGAGTGAGGCATGAATACTTTTAAAGCCAAGTCCCACTAGATCCAAATAAAGGAAGAATTTTCCATTTTCAGAAGAGCTTCCCATATCACATTTTCTATTAACATTCAGTCTGCAACAACATTTGCCTCTCAACTCCTAAAAGCTCTCATTTCAAATTCCCAAGCCAAATGATGCTATCTAGAGTAAGCAAACTTTATTTTTCCTGCCCTTCAATTTGTTCCTCCAATGTCCACAAACAATAAATTCTTTCAAAAAGTCTTACTTAGCTGGAGGAACTGAGGTTATTTTAAAATTCAGTATCAAGAACTTTATAGAGTCTATTCCCCGCCCCCCCCAGATTTGACAAGGCTTTTTCTTTTTAGATTCTTAAAGTTTCAAAATTTTTCTGTCTGCATTTATTTTTTGCCATGGGGTTTTGCACTTAGTATTTATTTTATCTTCATTTTATTCTAAAGTATGAACATATTTTCTTATGTGTGGATATACCATTTTATCATTTAGTATATTCATTGTATTATAAGTATATATGTCTATATTTTAATGAGTACTAAAAGTATTTCTGAAAGTTTAAAACAGTGAGTCTCCTTTGATTTCTGTTCAATTTTCATAACTATGATGTTTACAAAGGTAAGTCGTATTTTGCAGATTTATAAATGAAAATTTATACTAATAGATAAATATTCGTAAAGAAATTGATAGTTTTTGTGCTTGAATTATTTTACAGAAATGTTACAGTATCCACACATATTTGTGTGGATACATGTGTGATATGATTAATTTGTTTTTTCCTTGTATAGTGTTAAGGTTTGAATACTCATACATGCAAGGAAAGATAAACTTGTATCTTACTTCTTTCCTTATTAAAATTATTATATAATATTCCATGATATATATTTGTGATATTTCAATTTTAATTTATTAATTTATTCAAAAAAGTAACAAAGATCCTTATTTAAGTCTTCTACCGTGTATGAAATAGGGTCAATATGAGTTGCAGGCAACTCGATGGCACATAAGAAAAAATAACAACCACCATGTGTGTAAATATCAGAATATGAATGTAGGTTCTTGTTAAGAATAGGAATTTCTGGCCTACAAAACCTATTCATTTAAAATTGATACATACATCAAAATAGCTAACAAAAATACTAGACTAATTTAGATCACTACCAATAATGAGAGAAAATACATGTTCCCCATACAGTCATCAAAATACAGCATTAGCAAACTTTAGAACTGTACCAAGGGAGCTCTGGTGACCTAATTCATAGAGAACTCTGCTGTTGACTTCATTGTTACACTTCTCTGGTAGTTTGAATCAACCAGCAACTCCAACAGAGAGATACAAGCAATATCCTCCTGTTGGATTTACAACCTTCAAAATCCAGTCAGAGATCTGCTATAAGTCAGTTTTAATTCAATGGCGGTGAGTTGAGTTTGAGTTGACTATCAACGTGATAAGCACAACCCTTGGTGATAAAATTGACTACCTTGGGAACGATCTCCTCTGCCTTAACCTTTTAATGTTTTCTTTGAATGAATAGTTGTATCAATCCTTGGCGGATCTGCTTGGTTTTAACACTGTAGATGATGGGATTCAGTACTGGAGGCACCAGAAGGTAGACATTGGCTAAGAGTAGGCGCACAGCAGGAGCAGCATGCTTCATGAAGCGATGTACCAGAGCCACACTGATCATGGGCACATAATACACAAGTACAGCACAAATATGAGACACACATGTGTTGAGAGCCTTCCGCCTACCTTCCCCAGAGGTAATGCCCAGAACTGTGCGGAGGATCAGCACATATGAGACCACAATAAGCAGTGAATCCAGTCCAAAGGTGGAAGTGACAATGCAGAGCCCCAGAATGCTGTTGGGGCGAGTATTCCCACAGGGCAGCTGGATCAGATCCGAGTGTAGACAGTACGAATGGGAAAGTGTGTTGTGGCCACAGAAAGGCAAGCGCTTTAAGAGAAAGGGCAATGGGAACATGAGCATCACACTCTTCAACATAAGAGCAGCACAGGTACCGGCAATACGGGGCATGGTCAAGATGGATGTATACCGCAATGGATTATAGATAGCCACAAAGCGGTCTACGGACATAGCCAGAAGAACTCCTGACTCCATGATAGAAAAGGAATGTATGAAGAACATCTGCAGAAGACAGGCTTCAAAGTATATCTCATTGGCACCAAAAAGGAAGATGCCTAGCACGGTGGGAAGTGTTGAGGCAGAGACACCAAGTTCAGCAAAGGCTAGCATGGCGAGGAAGAGGTACATTGGCTGGTGGAGAGAGTTGTTTTTCTTAATCACTGTTAAGATCAGGCTGTTTCCAAAAAGGGCTACAAGATATGTGGAACAGAACGGGAAAATGAACCAGGAATACAGAGCTTCCAGACCAGGGAGACCAGTGAGTAGAAAATATTTTGGGGTGAATTGACTAATGTTGATCATTTTTTTTCTTCTACTGGGAATCTGGAATCTGAAGACCTTGCCCTAGACAGGTGCCATAGGTTCAACCTGGAGTGAGACATACAAAGGGCAATAGGTTGAACACTGACAGGGACCTGAGAATTGCTGTCTCTCCATTCCTCCTCATACTGATGCCCACGTTCACTTTTCTTCAATGCTGTGTTAAACTAAGGGATCATGGCTTGTAAATAGGGATATCTACAGAATAAGAGGCTCTTGTGGAAAATGATATTGCTTACAATTCAACTTTATCTCAATAGTAATTTCACTGTATATATCTTTTTTTTGTATATACCCCTTTTTTAAAAAAAGAAATCGGTCTGCTCAATTTTATAATCCATCTCCTCTGTGTGTGTGTGTGTGTGTGTGTGTGTGTGTGTGTGTTAGATTCTCTGTGTATATATCTTTTAAGAAATTTTGCTCATATGATGTTAATGTATATGTTGCAATTCACCTTTAATTCTCTTTTAAAATAACGTAATATAACATAATACAATTAATATAATCCATTATTATGACTGATAAAGTAGTAACAATAATGATACACCTATTCCTAAAAACTTTTTATTCTGTGACATTTCAGATTTATGACAATTAAAAAAAATCTGTTTGGCTTTTTTACACATTAACAACCTTCACTTTGCAGTAATGACCAGTGATGTGGTAGAAGAGAGTTACACTAGCTATGATGGTTAAAGTTCTGTGCCAGCTTAGCTGGACCATAAATCTCAGTAGTTTGGAATGATGTAATGAAATAGTATAATTTGAAAATGATAATGATGTAGTCATCCTTTATTGTATGATCCAATGTGCTCATTCACCATTTTTACTTAATACCTGATTTTGAATAGCAATATAATCTTTGGAACTTAGCCACATTCATAACTAAGAAATAAATGTATTAATAATATATCAACAACACAAACCACACACTGAGTTCTCTCTCTCTCTTTTTCTCTCTTTTTTTTTTTTACACATTGATTTTTCTTATACACATGCTACATTCAGGGATTTCTCTTACTATCCTTGTGTTGTTGTTTTTGGTAGGTACTGTTGAGTTGAATATAACCCACTGTGATCTTATGAACAACAGGTCTGAAACCTTTCCTATCCTGTGCCATCCTCACACTTCCTGATATTCTAGAGCCCATTGAGGCAGTCACTGTGTCAGTCCCCTTGGTCGAGCGTCTTTCTCTCCTTTGCTAACCCTCTGTCTGTCCAGGCATGATCTCCCTCTGGAAGGAATAGCATCTCCTAGCAACATACATAAAGTACGTGAGACGAAAAGTTACTTGCCTCTAAGGAGATAATAATAACAATAGTTTATTTGTACATCAGTAATTTCTTAAAATTGGTCATTTATTAATTGCTTAACATTTTCTAGGCTGAAGAGAGAAGTTTTAGATTTTAACGTATGGAATCTTTTTAAATGGCTACTGGGTGTCTCTAAGACATAATTTGGGCCTGCTTCCTGAATGTCTAGAGTCATTGGCTTTCACTTATATCTGAAAACATGAACAGAAAGAACAAAAATCAACTCTTCATTATAATACATTTTAAACATTAAAAAAATAATAAGTATTTACATGAAAAATTAATAACTAGAGTACTGATATATAAATAAAAAGGAGACAGAAAAAGTTCAGAACAGAATATTCCTGTTCATAGTTGGAGTTAGAGGATGGAAGTGTGGTCTGGAGTCCAGAATGAGCTCTGAGTTTTGTGATCTCCATTGTCCTTTCACCATTACGCTGAATTTGGAAACATTAAGGAAACAGTTCATCTTAAAATATTTTATCATCCTGAACTCAAGGTGATATGTTGATGAAGAAGCTTGTGTGCTCTGAATATGATACATCAATTAGAAATAAAAATTTATTCCTCCTGGCTGTAGCTTTTCCAGGATAACATAGATGAATGGGACCTTCTAAGACTCAAATCCCTATGCACATCCAAAAACTTCTCCAGTAGGGTAAAAAGGGAAGCCACTGACTGGGAA